TGAAGAAGACTGGAGAGAATTAAATTCTAGACATGGGGGGACTAGGCATTGAATATAACCAAAGTTCTCACATTTTGCAGTGTCATGACCCCCCTTCAAATTATAATGAATGTATGGGATTGATCTGATGTGATTATGTGCCATCTAGTTGGTATCAACTCTTAGCCACCATACAGATAGACTTTTCCAGGATGATCTATCCCCAACCTGGCCCCTCCCCATTAATACAATGAATGGCTATATTGGGGTTATGGTTGGGCAAAAAATAAACCTACCACTCACTACTAATAATTAAACTTTAATTTATAATCTGTGGCTCTCCAGATGTTGCTCAATTGCAACTTGGAGCAGCCCCAGATGTCAGGGATGCTGGATCCGGTAGCTGAGTAGCATCAGAATAGCCTCAGGTTGTCCACTGCAGACAGACTATCTTTCAAAGGAAAGATTAAATTTCCAAGGAAGATACATTTATTCTCCCCCCTTCTCCAACCACTGGAGAACTCTCAACCCTTTGCTACTAGAAGAAAAAATGGGAGAAGTGCAGGATTTCTCTCTGCACCCCCAGGCCAAGGTTATTACAGCTCACTTGTTCTGCCTCCTTATTCCCAATGATGGCCCTAAGAGGTTCTTCCCAGCTCTTCCCCTGCAGAAACAACCTCATTGCCCTCTTCCACATAAAGCTTCCAACTCCACTAGGTCCCTTTCACCAAGAGAGGCCCCCTGCTCACCCCTCCCATGGGCCCAGATTGAGGTAAGATTGTTTGGGACAGTGCCACAAGATTCCTCCTTTATCTGATTTTTTCCCCCTTTCTGCTGGGAAGAGGGAACTCTTTCACACAAAGTATAGCTGGTATCTTGTCAGGCCACACTTGTCCAGGTAGAACGAGGGCAGGTTCTGGCAGGAATCCTGCTTTGCATGGATAAGTCTAACCAAAAAAAAAAATTGTGACCACATCAAATTAGCTTGTGATCTATCCAGGAGTTGGACTATAGTTTGAGAATCCCAGGGTACAGAAGAAAACAATACTGCGAAGTAAGAAGTGAGAAATGAAAGGAACAGAATAAGGAGAAGAAAACTGTGGCCTTCTAATATTGCTGAACAATAGTTCCAATGTTCTTCATCATTGGGTATGTAGCAGAGAGAAATTTGGTCAAATCTCTGACCTGATTCAGTCCTCATTTCAGTTTTTCCAAGACTAACTGAAATACAGTTATAAATTAAAAGCTACCCATTTCTAAATCTTACAATCCAGAATGCCACTAAAATGTATATAAAGTTAGAAATTGGGAGGGGGGAAGTATGCATTGGGGAAAATTGTGCAGAAATATGAATATGTTAGAGAAAGGGAGAATGCATTCCATGAGAAAAAACTGACTGTGTAGAACAACAGGTACAAAAAATGTTAGAAATAACAACAACAGTGCAATATCTTGCGACAGCAGAAGAGAAGAGAAAATCACAAAATACAAAGACCTGCAAATAGAAATAGAATGACTGTGGCAAAAGAAAGCAAAGATAGTACCAAGA